AAAAATCCAGTTTGGATCACATCATTATTAAATTTTAGGTCCAATTATAGTTTCCAGTAAGGAATAAACAACATAAATATTGAGGAATGATAAATTTTAAGGAGTTACTGGAGAGCAGAATTATTTATTAAAACCAAATAAGTTCAAAACATGTAATTTTAATTTTCAACTCTTCAAATGGCTTTACATGAAACAGAAATATGGAAATTCATGTTTTCAGCTCATGCTCTTTGGTGAAGTTTCTTTCCGTGCTTATTTCCTCACAGGACAGTAGAAAGACTCAGTTGGTGTTGGTTTTTTGGGTTTTCTTCCTGTAAAGACAAATGCTGCTTCTCTTCAGCAGGAACCTAACCCAACAAAACCCTAGTGGTAGGATTGGATTGGAATAAAAACTGTGTGGAGGAGCCATGCCAGAACATGGCAATGGAAATGGAGAAGGCAAAATTTACACTCACATGGAAAGCAGGGAAAATAGCTTGGGGAGAGATGCAGTGGGATTACTGATAAAGGAGAATTTCCCATTGTGCTGTAGCTCTTTGTGCTGAGCTGAACTCAATTGGGGCTGCCCTTCTGTTCAGCCTGAATCCTTCAGTGAGTCTCTTTCAAAGGAAATATGACATTCTCAGTGTGCAATGCAGTGCCCCTGCTGCTAACTCTGCCACTCGATATTTCTTTCACAGGGGGCAAACATTGTGTACATACAAATCAAGCATGGCTCCATCATCAAACACTAACAGTGGTCCATGCAGGCACTTTTCAGCCAAAAAACAGGAAACCCAAAGGATCAGGACTTCACCTCATCATCCTGCCCTTTATGGTCTGTTCAATTTTACTTTTGTGTCACATGAAGATTGTTATGAAAACATGTTTTGTATTAATCTAACCATGAAAGCTCTTGAAAAATGTATTCCTACAAGTGACAGGACATTAACTCAACATTGTTCTCACATTGCAGAGAGGATCTTAATTTGAGGGCTTAAAATCAATAGCCTCCTTCCCAAAAGATTTGTGAATATTTCAGTGGCTGGAGAAACAGTTGAGCATCAGGACGTTTAGTTCGTATCCCAAATTTCTTCAGAGCTTTCTGGATCTCTAGTCATGTCATCAACATAACATTCTGGGTTTGAATAATAATTTTCTGGTTTAAAATAACTTGCTGGTTTTTCTGTACTGCAGCACCCAGGATTTTCTGTACTGCAGCACCCAGGACGGCCCGGCAGCGTTCCCATTAATGCTGTTGCTATAACGACTGCAGCCCCCAGTGCTCAGGGGATGCTCCTTAGCACCAGCAGCAGGGCTGACAAAACACAAACTGACCCGGAGGCACTTGGGCTACTTTGTGGCCTAGATTTAATATTAGCTTTCTATTAATGGGATAAAAAAAAGTGTGAATGTGGGGGAAAGATTGTTTGTGATTATTCCCTCCCTCTCTCTACTCCTCCAGATTTCCCAGTGAATTTCAGGAGGTGCACAGCACACTGCTGCACTGGGGGCTGAGACAATTGCTGCAATAAGAATTCAAGCATCTGAAACATAAACCCCATTGTTTTAGGGTCATTTAAAAGTGAGTTGGACAGGCCCTTCAGATGTATTGCCTGATTGGTGGGTGCTGAAAGTGGTGACACAGCTGCTCATCCTCATCTAGCAGTTATCTGGCACAGTGGCCAGGCCACTTTAATTCCCTTCTGAGTGATGCTTCATGCTCCAAATCTTTCTTAAATCAGCTTATTTGGACTATGCAGGCTACAATTAACATTTTCCAGGAGCTGAAATCACCAGCCAATACAATTATGGCAGATGAGCACAGACAGCATTRTACACACACAACAGGTGATAAAAGCTCATGTGATCATCACTATTGCAGAAATATTAAATAAAATCAGGTAGTCTATATTTATTTACTTCTCTGGAAAAGGCAGAATAAATTATTAAACACAGCTGCGGTTAAAGCCAGTTTAAAATATGCATTATGTGATGCATAAGCCTACTGTGAAACTGAAAATGAAGTTTAAACCATCACCCTACTTCTTAAAGTCCCTTGGGTACAAAAAGGGGTTGTGCACTCTTTCCCATTCAGTCTGGATTTAAAATTTGTATCACACATGTAGCACATGAGAGTTTACTTTCCATTTTTATCCTAAAAAACATGATAACGTAATTTTTTTAAAAGTTTTTCGCAAATTTTGAGTCCCAGCAGAGTTGCTGGGTTTTTTATTTATTTGTTTTGAGTATTAGTACCTCCTCAGCTCTTCAAGCCACAAGAGAAGGGCCATGGTGGGACTCTCACCAGAACTTACCTATGTAAGTAAAACTCAACAAAATTGTGAGAGGTAATGAGGTAATGTCTGCTCCCCAAGGCTCCAAGTCTTACCTGAGTAATCAAAATGAGACTCTGTAATTAAACACATGAGAACTGTTTAATCCTTAATCAATTAGCTACTGCATAATTTTAATCTTTCCCAGTGTCTCATTCATCTAACACTGAAGATATTTCTTTAGCAGATGTGTTGTTTCTATGACATCTCCAACACAAGTTGAACTTAAAAAAGGAAACTTAACTGACATCAGACTTGTATGTGAAGAGGCAATTTGTGCTAATACTTTTACATTATGCAAACTGAAATGAGGAATTTTGGTTTATTTACCATCAAAATAAAATTAAAAAACGGGGTGGTTTTGGCCAAACTAAGGGCCTCCTACCCTGGGTAGGAGATTGCAAGCACAAACAAATCCACGGATGGAGAAGTATAAGGGGGAGCGTTTGGTGGACAAACTGGAAATTAGAAGTGGATAGTTACCGTTTTTGAGGAGTGGTGCAGAAATTAAAATTTCTGCTTGCAAAATGAGTGATTGATTGATTGATTGATTGATTAATGAAACTCCCTCAGTTTGGAGAAGACCCTGACAAACCCCGATTTGGAAGACTGTGTGCTGTAGATGGAACTGAGTCCAGCAATGGCCCTGAGGCTGCAGAGGGCAGCTTGAAGGCGGGTGGGACCTCTCTGCGAGCTGAAGATAAAGTTGTACATTATTTTGAGTGACATTATTGYCCTTAAAGCTAATTCCAGAGGCTGTGCAGCGTGCTGAGGTGTCTGTCAGGCAGGCTGGTGTCGCCCTGAGCCCGGCAGAGGATGGCTCTGGGCTGCGGTTTGGCTGCGTGCGCCCGGCAGAGCTGCAGCCTCACTTCCCCAAATGACAAGGGCAGAAGCGGCTCTGCCCTGGGAGCCCTCTGGACGTGCAGCTCCTTGTGCCCTCTGGACGGGCAGATCCTTGTGCCCTCTGGATGAGCAGCTCCTTGTGCCCTCTGGACACTCGCTGGAGCTGCCAGCCTGGTGACAGCAGCATGTGAGAGCCCCAGCAAGCAGGGCAAGGGAGCTAAAGGAGCCTTTCTGGAAGCTTCTCAAGAGGAAGATGGAGAGCCCACTTCTTTTGTTCCCCCAGCTGAACATTTCTGCCCCGAAGGACAAACCCTACTACAAAATCATGAAATCAGCCGTTAAGGAAGAGCCACACAAGGCCAGCAAGGCTGGGTAAGTGTTGGGGTCATGCCGACCCTCTGGAAGGCTCTTCCAGCACAGCTTGTGGGYGTGAATTTAGGGCACAGATGATTTTATTTGTTTTATTTATTTCTCATGTGTCTGAGAACTCATGAACTGCATTCCTAGAGACTGCATATGTAAAATATTAACTCTTTAAAAGAAGCATTATCTCAAAGATTTTTATTTTATTTTTTTAAGGACAAGAAACAAATTCATGATCTGAAAGTACTAAGAAAGAAAGGTGGCAAGAAGTTCTGAGAAATGCTTCTCTAAAGCCTGAATAGGATCCGGGAAAGCTTTTTTTTCAAAAATTTCAAATGACAGGAAGCCATACTTCCTTTTTTCTTTRCGAAACATTAAAAGTAGAAGACGCTGAGCCAACTGTTCATGTCCTCTAAAGGGAAATTCGGCCCCTCAGTCTTCAAAATAAATTAAAAGGATGCTGAAAATGAAAGGATTTCCATTTCCCTTTGCCAGTGCTTCATGTGTAAATTTGTGCTAAGCTGTRAAGAAAGAGCCATTAATGTGAATAATGTATGTAGGAGAAGTAACACCAACATTACTGTTAGTGAAAATAGGGAAATCTATGGTATAGAAGCAGAAAATGATTGAGAGGGAAAACCCATCTTTCAGCAAGGTTTCCTGACAAGCTGCTCCGATTCGTTGTAGAGCTAAGCAGAAGAGAAATAGGCTGAGCCTGCTCCTGCAGAAACCTGAATTCCATGAAGGTGATCACCTTGGCAAACCTGGAAACTTGACAAAAGCAGCAAGGTAAATATTATAAAGGAGTGAAGGAGGCAAAGACTATAAAGGGAGAGCTGATGGGAATTCCTTCCAAGAAGTGCCTGTGTGACTCAGAACGTTTCCTGTACCTGTGTGTGCATTCTTGGAAAAGGGTAATGCTTTTAAAAGTTCTGAATTTAACCCAAGCATGCAAACACTACAGAATTATCGAGTGCTCAGCAGGAGTGTTTTCACACTCTGGTCCCCACACTCAGAGAGGTTTAAACCTTGTGCCAGCAGCCTTTGTGTGAGCCCAMTGACTACACAGAGCAATAATCCATTCAGAAATGCAGCTGACACATCACTGCCAGCAGGAAAACCACCCAGCTCCTTGCAAAGTGGGTTTCCCAAAGATTTTTGTGATGTAGAAATGCTGTATATGTATTAAACACTGCATGCATAACTCCTCAATAATTGCAGTCACTGATTGAACTCTCTTTTCCCCAAAATTCAGCAACTGATGTTTTTACACTGTAATACTGTGGTARTATAAGGGTGCAGGGTAAAATCTCTGGGTTTATTGACTCAAATAAGGGTTTAATTCCTGGCTTCAATGCAGTACAAGATCTCACTGATACGTTAAGAACTGTATTTTTCTTCTCCTGGCTGAGAAGAAAGAATATGTAAAATACTGCAACTCCATGGCCTAAAAAATATACTGGGCCTTTCTTTCCAGCACAGATCACTCCAGAACACTTCAAAAGAGCTTTCCATTCTCTTTTGCCTTGCTTAAGCAGCTCCTTCCTTCAGCACCAAGCTGCCTGCTTTGGCTAAAGCTACTTCTGCAAACCCTTCTAATTGGGAGGATATGGCAGAAGTCACCTAAGAACCCCAACTCTGCTCCTGGACCCCATGGAAAAGTGGATGAGGAGGGGTATCTAAACTTTCCCACTGGTGCCTCTGGATAACCAGACCAAGTTTTTTTGTTCACATTTTGAAACATCCTGGTTGCAGAGACGTAAAACCATTCTAAGATTGCATCTTCAGAAAGCAGAGCTGCCTGCATGCAGTGTTGGGCATCTCATATAACCCCAGCATTTCACACAAAATACAGCCACTCACTACATTCTTACAGTCTGTGAAAAGGCACTTTCAGAGCAGTAATAATTCTCTGAAGGATTTCCCCCTTTTAACAGACCATCACTTCCTCACTCAGCCAGCTCTCTTTTATCATGCCRCTCTCAGCTGGTGCCTGACTAACAAGTACGGAAGAGAAACTTGTCGATTTTTGCTGGTCTTTATATATAGATCAGAGAAAAATGACAATTGTATTTATCAAAAGTGGAAAAAAAACCCCAAACAAAAAAAAAAAGAAAAGAAAGTTAGTCTTTTTCAAATAATGAAGTGAAATAATAGTTTGAAATGTATTAAGTGATTTACTTAGCTTCCATGATTTTTCACACAGAGTTACTAAAATAAATCAAAAGAGAATTTAATGAAACACCACAGATGGAAAGTGGGGTGATAACAGAAATGTTACTTAATCTGCTAGTTTAAATGTTAATCTTTAGTTTAAATTTTAATTTGTTAATTTAAAATCATATTTAGGAAGTGGCTGAGCTTGGTTTCTGCCTGTTATTGCACAACCTGTTTGCTGCACTCAGATGCTGGGGATCTGTCAGGCTGCTGGRTTGGTGCAGGTTCTGAAGGGAAACCAGAAACTCACACCAGGGTTTTCCAAACCCAGCAAAGAACCTCTCCAGCATTCCATGGACTGAGCAGGGGCTGTGAAGTCAGCAGGCTTTATCTGTTCACTATGACCAAAATAATTTCTGTGGCTGCAGGAACCCACAGTTGACACATTCAGAGCACTGAAGTGTTTTTGTGCTTCTCATACCCAATGAACTCTGTGAGGGAGTGAGGTCCCSCTTTCCCTGACTCCAGTGCCCCTGCTTTACCAGCCTGCACTCATTTCCTGAATTTCATTTCTCCAGAGTTTGTACTTCTCCTCCTGAGCTGTTTTCTCCTCCCTAGTTAAAACTTTCATTCCTGCAAGCAATGACTTCAGCTATGAAACATGTGACACCTATTAAAATAAAAATAAAGAAATTCCTCCTTTTGAGTTTGGTGCAAACCCAGGGTCATTACTGGCTTAAATTCATTCCCAAAGATATTAAGATATTGGAATTTCCAAATTGGGATCATATTCCAGAAATGTTCAGTCCATAAGAAGCTGGTCTGACCATCCAATCCTGGACAAATTGCTCATCGATTCTTTCAGTGTACTGTGCTTTGCCCTGCAATGAAAATAGTCCTAAACATTCATATTCATAAAGCAACTGATCAAAGTTGACTTCCACTTCAGGCTGAAAACTTAAATCCTACTCTTAGCAGGATACAGCTCACCTCCTGCTCACTCCAGTTCTGGCCTTCTAAAAATCCAAGGACTGTTCCAGTGTGCATTCGGGCTCAGTCTATACAAAACCAAAAAATAAGTTCTCCAAAATTGTATTTACATGAAAGCAGCAAGGTGGGTTTTGGGTTTTGGGTTTTTTTTCATTTTCTTTGCTGTTTCCTAGGGCACAATTCTTGAAATCAAAGTGAAACACATGCAACTTGACATACTTGATGAAGAATATGAATTTTATAAGTGAGGCACTGAGGGGTCTCAGAATAACGTGGCATTTGAAATGTGTTTGTGGTAAACAAACCAGACTACAGGTTCTGTTGCCCTAAAAGTCTGACACCTAAACCATATTGCTACAATTTTGTCTTCAGGCTGTAGAATTCTGTGTATTTCATTAGAAGCAGACTRTGGTGACAGCTTCAGAGTGAGCATATTCAAAACCACATCTCTGCATAKTTCTTAAGTTTAAATAGCTGACAAGACTGGGTTCCCATAAGGGTTTTACCATGATCTCAGTTCCCTCAAAGATGAGCAGAGCAACACAAACCCCACAGCGAAGCATCTCTGCTCTGTAATTTTTATAAAAAGAAAGAAGAAATACAACTCTGCAGGAAAAAAACCTCAGAAAAGAATTAAAGCAAATGTTCCTGAAGTCCCTGAGAGAATGATTTCCTTTAGAAATGTGATCTGATTGAAGGCTTTGGGAAACAGTCCTGAGCCATGATGGTAACGGGGAACATGGGTGACACAGCTTCCTAAATGCACAAAATGCACAATTCCTYAAAACTCCTTTCTGTTTCTCAAGCAGCGTGTCTCCTGAAGAAGCACTGAAATGGGGAGAGTCTTTTGACAAACTGCTTTCTGAGAAAGGTTGGTGGTTCCTTGCCTCTCCATGCAGACAGCTAGGATGGAAAATTGATGGTAAAGGATGGTAAATGATTAAATCCAGTTATGCCTTTGAATAGACATGGCAGTTACCTAAACTAGGTATGATGGGTCATTTATAGCAGCATGTGTTCCCTGCTCTCCTCATCTTCTTAGGCTGTTGTGAAAATRGCTGAAAATAATTTTTTACCTTGGTATTTTATTGAACAAAATAATAGAGCAGACAGCAAAGAGTCCCTTCAGTAAACAGGAGCATTTAATCTGAACATTGCTCAAATATTCCTGACTGCATATGTTCTGTGTACTTCAGACAAGACTTTGTCACTTCTGATGCAGATTATTTCCAAGATAGTGCCTGGATCCAAGCTGGCCACCCTCTGAGAGGCCCTGCTGCTCCCACAATTATCAAATGCTCATGTTGTTCCTGCCTTCCTCCATTCTGGAGGGACACACGTGTGCTTCAGCAGCAGTGCTGGACACTGTGTGCTTCTCAAATCTGTTCCTTGAGCAGTGCCCATCCACACAATTACATTGCTTCCACAGATGAGGTATACTCGGGAAAGAAARTATCCTCAGCAGAACAACAGAAGGATAAAGCAATTTATAAAGGTGCTGAAAGCCATCCATCTTAAATTGCTGCTGGAGAGATTCAAAGATTCAAATTTTAATTGAATTCAATTGAATTTAATTGAATTCAATTTTAATTCAAATTCAATTTCAAATCAACCTAAATTGATATTCAGCCGGAATAAAGTCCATTGCTTCCAAATACATCCACATGTTTTGCTTGCTTCTCTTTCTAAATTTACGAGATCTTGGTAGTGTTTTTCCACTGATGTTGAGAATTCTGTAATGGAAATTACAGAATCATAATGGAAAAATAGCTCTTACTTTAAAACCTTTATGCATTTTAAGATAATTATCTGTAATGAGATATTACTAAAAGGGAGCAAAAAATGGTTTACTACCTTGCACAGACTGTGTGGAAAGACTTTCTGATAAGAACATATTTTTTAATGCAATTCAACTTTCCCTTCTGTAGCTGGGCTGGAAGCCTTCACAAAGTTCCTGAAAACTGAATTCAGCGAGGAGAACATCGAGTTCTGGGTAGCCTGTGAGGATTACAAGAAAAGCAAAAGCACACATGAACTTCTGCCAAAAGCCAAGGCCATTTTTGAGACATTCATACAGAAAGATGCCCCAAAAGAGGTAAAGACATTGTTCATTATACACAGTGCTTGACACAACTGCACCTGGTGAAATCTGCTTTTAACAAGTGCATGCCCTGGTTYACAAAATAATCCTGCAGTTCACTGACATAAGAAGTCATAAAAGTGTCATGAAAGTCAAAGATCTGAGAGGAACGTGGACTTGTCTAGATTGTCTCCTTCCCCCTTTCCCACCCCTCCACCTTGAATTGTAGATCCTTGGTATGTTACTGGCAGCACACAAATATGTCCATGTGACAGTCCTCACCAACACTGAGGCCTTTCTGTAGTGTCATAAGAGTAAAAAAAGTTCTCATATTTACAACATCTTCATACTTACAACATCTTCATATAACACACTGAAGTGTGTTATAAAGGATTCGTAAATGAGCAAAGGGAATATTTTTTGCCTGCCCTAAGAAGGAGATCAACTAATTGGGAGAGCGTGAACTTTTCAGTGAAATCACAATCAGACTATTCAACAGATCTATTAAGTTTGAGCAGATCAAGGTCACTTGCCAATACCTGTATTATTTTTTTCATTTGCCAGAATAGCAGAAGTTAAACACTAACTTCTGCTTCCTTGTGATGAGGGTGAAAAAGATGAAATTCTCATGTTGGTGAAAGAATCACAAAATGGTGCAGTTTCCATCTGCAATTCCCATAGATTGCATCAAGATTCATACCTGCTTTTTCTAGGAAATGCCCACTTTCAGAGGCTTGTGCCCCTTTTCATTTCTTWCCCTGACTTTGTGGCGATGCAACTCTGGGCAGGTAACAACACTCAGCACTTGAGATTGGTGGAAGAGATGAGCAGGAGGAAATCTGCAGAGGGAACAGGGCAGAAAAGTCACGGTAATACAACAATTTGTTTCTCTGCCATGCTTCAGTGTGGTGCAGGCAGTGTAGAAGCTGTGGTTCACCTTGGGCTCTTGGCTTTGGTGACACTTCCTCCCTCGTATTTGCACCCCTTCTCTGACTCTCTGTTCAGCAGAACTCTTCTACACATGAATTTCTGAGCCTGCAGTTCGATGGCATCATAAAATCTCGGAGTGGACCATTCTCTCATCACTAATTGCCCTGCAGCTCTTAGATCTAAACTGTTTATTCTAAATAATTTTATGGAAATGACAGGTGCCTCTCAGAGAGGAAAAGAAAAGCCTATTATAGAAGTCACTTTTTGACTGGGTCAACAATTTTTTAAAATATATATTTTATCTTATTTTTCAAAATAACATGCTTAAATCACCATCTGTTACTTTAATAACATTCTCACACTCTTAAATATTTCCCAGGATGAATGCAACATTGAATGCAACAGCACATGGAATAAACAGTCACTTTGACATGCTTTTGCAAACTAAAGCCTCCAGAAACACATTTAAAAAAATATTAGAAATTTCTCACCTTCCTACAGTCCAAACAACACAGAAACCAGAAATTTTAAATATTCACTAAGAGAATCTCATTAGAAACGTTCTGGTTAATCGTGAGAGCAGGGGGAGCTCTGTAACAATCTGGTGTTGCAAACCCTGGGAGCTGCAACTCTTCAAAGATCACTATTGGAATTACTTTTTGTGAAACATCAGAGTTTATCTTCTGTTTTACCAGTTTTCCATGCTACCTGTGAACATGAACACACCAATTCTGCAGAGTTCACATCACATTGTATGGGGGATTTGAGGTCCTTTTATCAGAAAAAGCTTTCRCTAATGTACAATATCAGTGCTACAGATAATAACAGAGGAAATACATGAATGTATGTTAAAGAAATTGGTCTTCTTTCTCTAGGTGAATTTGGACTCTCACACCAAGGAAGTCATGAACCAGAATACCATTAAATAAATACATTTTCTTCCTTCTCCAGGTGAATCTGGACTTTCACACCAAAGAA